GGGAGTGAGGGCGGAGGGTGGGGCGGGAACTGGGAGGAGGGGAGTTATGGGGGGAAAAAAAAGAGGAACAAATGTAATAATCTGAACAATAAAGATTTAATTAAAAAAAAAAAAAAAAAAAAAAAAAAAAAGAAAATGTGTGACCAAGGAAATCCACATTATAAACGGGAGTTACAAAGTCCAAACTCTCCGGATAACCCTTGCTTAGTCATCCACATTGACCTGTCATCACCCCCAGCTTCCGGACCCAATCGCACGCGTTTCAAGTCTTCAAATGTCTACGTGTGCCGACGGGCCTTTGCAAATGCCCTTCACTCTATCTGGCTCATTCTTCTCTGCCCCCTCAGAATACTTGTAGTAGGTTTCCATGTGTCCCTGTGTTTATTACATGACAGCATTTTCAAACTTTATTATGTCCTTTGTCTTTACTATTAGCTCCAGGAGGGCAAGGGCTCAGTCGAGTTAACATTGTTCCCCAGCTCAGCGCCTGGTGTACACAATAGGCAAGTCATGAAGGAAGAAGAGGACTTGCATCCTAGGTCTAAGATAAAAGGCCTTAAGCAGTTCCAGAATAGCACATTTCTTTGGTATCTCTCCTTCAGATTCTCTGACAAACATTAATATCTGAGCTCAAACAACACTTTCCCTTAAGGGACATTTCTATAGGATTTAAAACTCTTATAAATATTAGGTGTTAGTTCTTTTTTAAAATATAATTATTTGCACTTGGAAGCATTTGAAAGATTTCTCTTGTGAATTTCCTAATGTCCACAGAAGGTGATTTTGATTAAAAACTTTTCTATAGTAACCAACATTATGGATTTTCTCTTCCATGGAGGTCTCATGTATTATTCTGACCATCTCTTCCTCCAGATCTAAAAGGTCTTATTTGAATTACTTAGAGGTATTTTGCACAAAGATGTGCACAAAAAATAAAATTAAAGGCAGAACTAGTATGTGACAATTGGTAAAATATACATATTCATTAGATTAAACCAAATCATATAAAGGATAGAAGAATTAATGTGGCAAAAAAGAGAGATCGCTTCTCAAATTGAATGCACTTAGGATAGGTTTTCCTGTATTGATATTTTTAGAAACCTGAGTTAAGAATAAAAGCAGGTAAAAAGAATCTGCTAAATTCATCATATGAGCAAGATTTTAAAAATCTAGTTAACTTATCATAATTTTCTTTTTTGTTGTTGTTTTGTTTTTCTTAATCCTCACCCAATGACATTTTTTCCATTGATTTTCTTGAGAGAGTGGAAGGGAGAGAGGGAGAAAGAGAGAGAAACATCAATGTGAGAGAAACTACATGAATTAGTTGCCTCACACACACACACACACACACCCCAACCAGGACCTTGGATCAAGCCTGCAACCCAGGTTTAAAAACTGTCTTTTAAACTTATGTAATGATGTTGATGCTTTTGTCCTTTTTTTTTTTTCCTGTTATTAGAGTTTGCATTCTCACAAAGAGTGCTTTGTAGCAGGTATTAATCTGTTTTGTACATAAATGTGTCAACAACTTGATGGTGGCATTTTTGAAATGTAAAACAAAGTGCTTGCAAATTGTAATTTTGCAATTACACTTGTGTACTTTGTGTACTTAAAATAAAAAGTGATCCAAAGAATTTAGGTCACTGTAGGAATGTACTACATTGCAAATGATTTCTTTTCTCTGTGCTAAAGTCTGTTTTACCCAATAAAGCAGGAAATGTTCTGCCCCAAACTTCAGCTATATCTTCATCCCCATAGGCCGTGGTCGGCAAACTGGGGCTCGCGAGCCACATGCGGCTCTTTGGCCCCTTGAGTGTGGCTCTTCCTAAGCCTTAGGAGTACCCTAATTAAGTTAATAACAATGTACCTATCTATATAGTTTAAGTTTAAAAAATTGGGCTCTCAAAAGAAATTTCAATCGTTGTACTGTTGATATTTGGCTCTGTTGACTAGAGTTTGCCGACCGCTGCCATAGGGCTTCCTTTATTGTCTCAATACTCAGAAGACAAAGTGACCGTTCTTCATCCCTCTATCTGTGCTCTTTTTCTGGAACTTGCCTATTCAACTACTCACTCTCTATCATATACCTCCAATAGGTGCCTATCTATCAGATCTCCAACTATTCTCTCCCTGCTGGGTCACTTTCTATAGACTAGAACTAAGCTCATTCTTTCCCATGCTTTAAATGTCCACCCTTAGCCTGGCATTGCCTGTATTCCTCCACCTTCCAACCTTCACAATCTCAGCTAGGCTTCTTGGGCCTCTTGGATTTATAGTCCAGCCATTTCTGTTGTGGACATTTACGTAGGTGCCGGGGCTGTACGGCATCAGAGTGGAAAATCCACCATTCTGTAAGGCTGCAACACTGGCAGCGAGGGCACGTCCTCACCCATCAGATACCCCCATTCAGGACACCGGCCCTGATGAGGACTGCACAGGGGAGCAGGGATGGCAGGGGCTTTTAGACTCATCAGTGGTAGCATCTAGGGGCCAGCACTGAGATGTGGAAATTATTAGCACAGAGACATTCAATGTCAGGGGTGACAGCAAGGACACCCTACCTGGGCTACACTTGGGATAACCTTAAGAAATAGTTCAACATAAGTTATAAGTATTAACCACAGCCTGATAATCAGCACAAAAATAAGGATGATGTCCATTAAGCATATGTTCTTCCTTTTTGATTTACATTAACTGTATTTTTGTATATAGTACATACAAAATACATATAGTAACTAATTTTTTATTTTTATATATTAAGTAATTTCCTCTGAATCACCTCCTTCCCCTATCATTTTACATAAGGATTCTTTACAATTTAGTATTTAGTTTACAGAATATTCATTTAGGCGAGACTGTGTCTGAATGTAAAGAGAAATTAATATTGCCCAGATATCAGAATTGTAAATGATGCACAGAAATGGATACAACGACAATTGGCACATAGCGTCTCCCTATTCAAGTGTCTCCTTTTGTTCAAAATGTAGTTGCATCTTAGTAAGGGAAAGCATGAAGCTACAGGGAAGTCGTAGTTCCAGTATGTGTAGAAAGGTATGTGTAGCTGCTATGTAGCTAACGGGGAGAGCTATGCTGGCGAAGCTTTTGTCTCTCATCTTCAAACCCACCCTCTATACCCTGCTTTCCCACGCTGCAACTGAGCCCTGCACAACTCCTGGATGCTGGTTAATCTCTACCTATAAGTGCTAGGACACTAGAAGGCTGATGGAGGAACAAGGGACTTGATCCCTCTTGTTTTGTTTCCTATTCATCACCCCAGCAAAGGCTCTTCACCTGGGTCGCTGCAGGTCAGTAACCAGGTCTTTCCCCCCCACATTCTCAGAACCAGCCGTAACATGCCTCCTCGGAGACCCTTCTATACAGGCGATCCAGCATCCCCTCCTCAGATACATGAGTTTCGGCTTTGCAGGGTCCCTCCATCAAGTGCCTGAAGAACCAGTACCAGCTCCTCAGAAGTCAGCTCTGCAGGATCCTTCCCCCAAGTTTTGTTTGGTTCTGGCTACCTCCCTTTCCACTCCTTGAAACAGCTCTGGCAAAAGTTTCCACTACTTCCACATTGTCAAGTCAATAGATATTACTCAGACCTTATTATACTGTTCTGTTATATCTGGCACAATTGACCTATCTCTAGTCCCACCTTTAGACAATATTATTTCTTCATCAATAACTTTCGCCTCGCTCAGCCATCGTGACTCAGTGGTTGAGCATCGACCTATGAACCAGGAGGTCACGGTTCGATTCCCAGTCAGGGCACATGCTCGGGTTGCAGGCTCAATCCCCAGTAGGGTGCATGTAGCAGGCAACCAATCAATGATTCTCTCTCATTGTTGATGTTTCTACTCTGTCTCTCTCTCCCTTCCTCTCTGAAATCAATAAAAATAAAAGTTAAAAAATAATAATTTTGCCTCATCAATACATTCCTGAGGGGTAAATTAACAAAAATTTCTTAGAAAGCACTTTAGCAATATTGGTTCAACAAATAATTACAAAGCATTTGTATGAATATGTCCAGTGAGTTAATTTCTAGAGTGAGGAATGCTGTTAAGCATAGCCAGTGCTGTGAGTGCACATTTAGTAAGTGGTAGAGCCAGGTGGTCCAACTCCAAAATATGTCTTAGTAACCTCTACACCAGGGGTTTTCAAACTTCAGTTCCATCAGAATCACCTAAGGGCTTGGTCAAACCTAGACTGACAGGCCCCACCCTTAGAATTTCTGGCTCACTAGTTCAGTTTCTAAGAAACTTCCAGGTACAGTGGGGCCTTGACTTACGAGTTTAATTCTTTCCGAGACCGAGCTCGTTAAGGAGCTCGTTAACTCAAATTACTCTGTCAACTCAATGCAAAAAATCCTCCGGGAGACAGCTGGTATCTCAAAACACTCGTTAGTCGAGACACTCGTAAGTCAAGGCGCCACTGTAATGCTGATCTGCTTCTCAATGCTACCTACTCACATTTTTTTCTTATTAGCTCTTCTTCAGCCCTGAAAACTCACCTCAGCAGGTCTCCTTCCTCAGGCAGCCTTCCCACCTCTCTTCTCTCCCCAGCTGTCCTAGCTCTCCTCACCAAGGCTCCCACACTACTCTTGTGCTCCCTCAGCTTCATGTGCGGGCCAGTACACATCAGCAGCCACTAAAACTAAAACCCGGTGCCCTTCTGTCCCAACCACTAGCCTGTGAAAAATGAATAGGAAAAAACTCCCCATCCTCCACTCAAATATCTAAGACCCCTAAATTGAGCTCATCCTTTTTTTCAGAATATATGCCCATTCATATCTGCAATGTCTTGCCACCTGAATAAAGAAGAGGAGAAAAGAGAAAAACTAATGGAAAAGAAAGTTGTATAAAAAAATATGTAAACTGCCACCTAGAAACTTACATAGACATCAAAGGAAATGTATGGATAGGAGAGGTTTCACAATCCACTTCGACACATTTTTTTTTATGTGTCATAGAAATGTACAAATTAATTTAGTTGGTACTTACAGAACATATAAAAGATGGACCTTAAGGTCATAATTCTTGAAAGAATTCTTAAATAATGGCTCTATATAACAGATGAATAATTCCAAGTCCTCTTTCATCCAGCACTGTATGTTCCAGTTTGCACCTGAATTAAAAATAAACTGCTTTAAATCTGAAAAACATTCTGAACAACTCCCTGAAAGAGAAGAGCTAAATTAAATTTACCAGTGTTCTGATACAACTCACATTGCCCATTCTGAGAGAAAACAAAACAAAACAGGCTCTACCTAGTGGGATGTGTTTGCCAAAGTCATTCAGTGCCTTTGGCCTTCAGTTTCCTTTTTGTGTAAAAAAGAATTAAATTCAATGATTGCTTCTTAGACCTTTTTATCCTGAATCACTTACATAGGACAATCCTCAAAACAAAATCCTCACATAGCTCAGTTCAGACTCACTTTCCAAGCGAAAGAGAACATTAAATATCAAAGTACAAGCAAATGTGGAGCAATATTTATGTGTCTATTTTAGCAATAAAAGCAAGGTGATTCACATTTGAACTATGATGAATGTCTTAAATTCTCGTTATTATAATATTACAGGCTCCAAATATAACTGATGAAAGTTTATTTCACAGCACACTGAAAAACTCAGCTGGTAATGTAAGATAAACTATAGGTGGTTTGTAATTTAGAAAGCAAGAGTAACAAAAAATGGAAATCATGACTATTTAGTAATTTCCATTTTTTTAAACTATCTTAGGGCAACAGTAATATATTTCCCCAAACCTAAAACCTATCTTGAGCCCCGTTTGGCAGAATAATCAATGGAAATCCTCAGTAACCACCACTTAAATTAATAATTTTAGTTTTAAAGACTAACTCATTCAGAAGTAACTAGCTATTAGCCTTTATTTATACAGTATATAAAATTAAAATCTACAGCATCATAGTCATTCCTTTCATGTGAAAAAAAATATTAACTTTTATTTTATCATTTCAAAGCTCATCATAAGGACCCTGATTTCTTATGTTCATTCTTAATACATTTAATAATCACTAGAAAGGCTAAGTTTCTTTACAAATTTTTTAAAGTGCTTAATTTTAGTGACAGTGCAGTGGAATAAAACATTTATAACAAAATTAAAAGACTATAGATTCAATTGGAGGCACTGTTAACTTATTTTAAAACTCTGATTTTATTGCATATGTATGCTTTATCCTTATTCCTAAACTGATTTCCACAAACTGTAGTGTTTCTTCCATCGAATCAGTGGTGCTCCACCAGGGCCATTTGGTCCTCCATGGGACATCTGGCAAACCCTGGAGCTATGCTGTGATTGTCACAACTGGAGAGGGAGTGGTACAGGCATCTAGTGGGAGAAGCCAGAAATACTGCTAAACATCCTACAATGCACAGAACAGCCCCGCCTAACCAAGAATTATCTGGCCCAAAATGTCAATAGTGTAGAAGCTGAGAAATCCTGATTATTCCTACATAGGAATGCTATACATATGTGTGCCTTTATTTTCATCCTGTAGGTCTCTTTATAGTGCCACATCAAGTGACTCTGCTCTATTAGCTCTTCCAGAAGGCTTAGAAGTAATTTTGTTGTTTGGATCTCCAGATGCAGCATTATGAACTATACTAGCTACATTCAGTATGCATTAACCTCACACAACAAAAACTCCTTGATTTAAAGGATCTATTGGGTACAGAGCAATTCTTTGTTTGAACAAATATTATCACTCATAATGCTTTAAAATGTAACTAATTTAACAATTGAATATTTTAAATATTTTATCTATTTAATAAGTTAGATGTGCCTTTTCTATTTTAAAGCACACTTAGAAGACCACAAGAAATGTATTTATAGTTTAAAATAAGTTCCTTCATTACATTCTTATCTAACTCTATGGGACATAAAAAAAATTGGGGGCTTATTAGTTTGGTCACATGATGAATCCTAATTCTGTTACTAATATAAAATTATAATACATGTTAAGAATCCCATCCATAAGACATCAATTCCATGCAGTTTTCAGAGAATAAAAACATTTTGTTCAAAACAGCTGAATAACAGCTAAATCTTGGAACATTAAAATACTTACCTATTTGTTGAAAAACTAAAGAATTTACTGGTGAAACGAACGCCTTCCCTTCAATGTTGTCTGCTTGTACAGAGCAGTTTTCATTTTCCTCACTCCAAATGCAACAGTGGAAAGTTGTTTTGGATGTTAAGTTAGAATAGTAGGTACCACTTGAATTAAATTTAGCTTCTAAAAGTGGCTCATAATATCCATTCAAATTTGAAGTGTTCTTTGAAATTCCAGCAGGCAAGAGAAAGTCGTAAGTTGTGTTTGGTGGCATGCAAAACAGCTTAAATCTCCAAGGAGTACTGGGATATGCCAAGTTAAATGCTGATATCACATAAATAAATTCTGTTTGGACATTAAAAACACACATAAAAAATCATTTTGACTAAGACATAAATAGGAAGTATCTACGATTAAACCATGCAGTGCTCAACAGTCATTATTTAACTTTCCAAGTGCTCAAATCAGTGCCTAATACCTAGCTCTGTATGTCTATTGTATAATGTGTTATACTTGAGAGGTGCATTTATTTATAGAGACAACTTCACTCTCTAGCACCCCTTTTTGGAAATTCATGCTTCTACTTTCTCATTAGGATAATTTATATTTTAATGAAAAGAAAGTATAACTAAATATTTCAATTTTCATTTCTAAAACTGAATATTCTAATGAACTCCAGCATAGATAAATATCTGGACAATTACATAACCAAATATTGAAGTGCTGTTTTAGTATTTCTTTTTTAAAGTATGTTTTTATTGATTTCAGGATCAGCTCATCCAAGTATCCTGATGTTGAAGACAAATCCTTTATAAAAGGATTCAGTGAAAGTACTGTTAACATTTTGGTGTTATTCTTTTTAAGAAATATTAAAACAGCCTTGTCCACGCGGTTCAGAGGTTGAGCATCAACTTATGAACCAGGAAGTCATGGTTTGATTCCCTGTCAGGGCATTTGCCGGGGTTGCGGGCTTTGACCCCCAGTAGGGGGCATGCAGGAGGTAGCCAATCAGTGATTCTCTCTCATTGCCCTGGCCAGTGTGGTTCAGTTGGTTGGGCATCATCCCATGTACCAAAGGATTGCTGGTTCAATTCCTGGTCAGGGCACATGCCCAGGTTGCAGGCTTGATCCCCAGCAGGGGGTGTGCAGGAGGCAGCCAATCAATGTTTCACTCTCACATTGATGTTTCTCTTTCTCTCTTTCCCACTCCCTTCCTCTCTGAAATCAATATATATATATATTGTGCACACTATTCAAAATAAATATCCCTCTTTAGGAATTAATCTACAAAAATATTCTCCAGCCCCAATTGGTTTGGCTCAGTGGATAGAGCGTCGGCCTGCGGACTTAAGGGTCCCAGGTTCAATTCCAGTCAAGGGCATGTACCTTGGTTGCAGGCACATCCCCAGTAGTGGGTGTGCAGGAGGCAGCTGGTTGATATTTCTCTCTCTCTAACTTCTCTAACCCTCTCCCTTCCTCTCTGTAAAAGATCAATAAAAATATATATTTTTTAAAAATATATTCTCCCAAACATACAAAGATATATGTATATACATTTCAATGCAGCATTATTTGTTACAGAAAATAAATCAATATTAATGGGGAATTGGTCAAATAAATTAATAATTTAAGGTAGATACATACAGTTCATTGTCATGCTATCATTAAACAAATAATTACATTAGTAAATACCAAAAAAGGCATGATAAATTGAAAAGCTGTTAAGTAGGGAAAAAAAACCAAACAGAACAGCCCCGCCAACGTGGCTCAGTGGTTGACCATCAACCTATGAACCAGGAGGTCATGATTCAACTCCTAATCAGGGAATATGCCTGGGTTGCAGGCTTGATCCCCAGTAGGGGGCATGCAGGAGACAGCCAATCAATGATTCTCTCTCATCATGTTGTCTCTCTCTCTCTCTCTCTCTCTCTCTCTCTCTTTCTCTTCCTCTCTGAAATCAATAAAAATATAGTTTGAAAAAACAAACACAGAACAGTATATATAGACCAATTCTATTTTTGCAGCTATAAATATGAAGTGTGTGTGTGTGTGTGTGTGTGTGTGTGTGTGTGTGTGTGTTATAAATCAGGTTCTTTCCAAGAGTTTGGGAATAGTGTTCATTTCACACTATTTGCAAAGGGATAAAAGGTTTTCATTTTCACACTTATACTTTCATTAAGTGAGCATGAGCATGAGAATTCCTACCTGGAAACAGAAAATTCTGTTAGCAAATATAGGAAACAGTATCTCCAAGAGCAAAATCTCTACCTTACATATGGACATTTTAATAAGAAGTACAAATGGGGCCCAGCCGGTGTGGCTCAGTTGGCTGAGCATTGTCCCATACACCAAGAGGTCTTTGGTTCGATTCCTGGTCAGAACATATGCCCAGGTTATGGACTCAATCCCCAGGAGGGAATGCAGGAGGCAGCCAATCAATGTTCTCTCTCATTGATGTTTCTATCTCTCTTTTCCTCTCCCTTCCTCTCTCTCTAAAATCAATAAAAATATTTATTTTTTAAAAAAATAGTTCAAATTGGTTTTTACAGAATAGTCATCCTATATAATAAAAGCCTACTATGCTAAGTGTCTGGTCGTCCAGTTGTCTGTTCAACCAAACAAAGCATAATATGCTAATGATATGCTAAGGCCGCTCAACCTTTCGCTATGGTGCATGGACCACCAAGGCGCAGACAGTCGACCAGTTGACCAGTCGTTATGGTGTGCACTGACCACCAGGGGGCAGATCCTTTGACTGGTAGGTTAGCTTGCTGCTAGGGTCCGGCCTATCGGGACTGGCCGGACATGCCCTGGAGCCCTCCCATGGTCCCTCCCCGGCTGGCCAACCTCCTGCGTCCCTCCCTGGCCTCGATCGTGCACCAGTGGGGTCCCTTGGCCTGGCCTGCACCCTCTTGCAATCCAGGACCCCTCAAGGATGTCAGAGAGCTGGTTTCGGCCCAATCCCACAGGCCAGGCTGAGGGATCCCACTGGTGCACGAATTCGTGCACAGGGCCTCTAATGGAGATATAAAGTACAGCATAGGGAATCTATATATATAAAACTCTAATATGCAAACAGACCAAACAGCGGAACAACCAAACAACTGAACAACTGGTCGCTATGATGTGCGCTGACCACCAGGGGGCGCGCATGTAACATGGCAGATGTCGGCTGCGGTGGGATTGTGGAACAGGTGAGCAGGTCGCTGTCATCGGGACAAACCTCTGGTGGTTACTGAAAATTCTTTGCTGTCGCGTGCCATGGTCCCACCCGGTGCTCACACCTGCTGCCGGTGCCAGACCCACTAACACCACTGCCGGCACCGGAGCTGCCAATTGCACCTGCTGCTGGCACCCACCACCAGCCCAGATTGCTCAGCACCATCAGTGGGTGTGAGCAACGGCTGCCGGCCCCCATCACCCATCAGGGCTTCTCCACCTCCCCCTGCTCTTGAGGGGTGATCAGGGCAGCAGCAGCCGCTCACACCCACTGCTGGTGCTGGCCCCAATAGCTCCACGCTGTCAGCAGGTGTGGATGGGGCCAGGGCTGGCACAGTCAGCACGTGGGAGCTGCAGCAGTGGGAGCAGGGCTGCCAACAGACAGGGGACTGTTGGCTGCAGCGGGAGTGGCCAGGCAGGGGTGCAGAGGATGGGCCGAGATCCGCCCCTGTGCCCACCACAGCCTCACGGCTCACAGTTCCTTTCAAGGTGCGTGAATTTGTGCACTGGGCCCCTAGTATAGTCATTAATATTCTAATAACTATGTATGGTGTCAGATGGGTGAAAGATTTATCAGAATAATCACTTAGTAAGTTAGGTAATGTCTAATCACTGGGGTATACACCTGAAACTAATATAATAATGTATTTTAACTGTAATTGAAAAATAAAAATGATTTTTAAGTGGGAGGAAAAGACAAATAACTTACCCCACTGTAACAAAGCCATACAAAATTTTTGACAAGTCATCTTACTTCAGAGAAGAACACCTGAAAAACAGTAAATCTTTATATTTTAATCATCAATAATACTCTGAATCAATATCAGGGACAACTGTATTATAGATTTATTCCTATGCACATGCTGTTTTATATAGTTAAAATAAGCCACATATTCATATATGACATAATGAATTGGTTGCCCGCCTCACTGCTCTGACCAGGGTGGGGAATGGAACCTGCAACTGAGGTATGTGCCCTTGACCAGAATTGAATCTGGAACCCTTCCATCTGTGGGCTAATGTTCTAGCCACTGAGCGAAACCAGCCAAGGCCAATTTTTTTATCCTAAAATTGGGGATTCAGTTCACCACATGCAAGTTAATCTGAGGTGAAAGCCCTGGGTTAGGTGTCAGGAGACTTGGGTATCAATCTAGGCTCTTTTACAAGTCAGCTATAGAACCTGGGACTTCAACACTCTAGACCTCAGGTTCCTCATCTACAAATCAGATGGATGATCTCTCCAGTCACTCTCTGAGCTTCCCATAATTCTGAGTGATTTTATTTGAAAACAGAAATCACATCTTTACCACAAATAACATTATAAAATATTAAATGAGATACATGCCTCATGAGTCATATCTGAGAATTGGTACCATGTGATGAGAAAACGGAAAGACATGTTTGTTTAGTTTACAACTTAATTACTCTTGGGAATAAAATAGATGTGCATAAACATTTTGTAGTCTGGTAAATTTGTTTTTCAGACTATTTGTTTTTCATAAGAATTTGAGTTCTTTGTACACTGACATCACAATATTTATTTAGGATTTCTAAAAAAGGGTTCAGTTTGAAATCTTCATTATTTAATCCTATGAAATGTGTGCAAATTCTTCCCAGTTTTTTTTTATTCTACCTGTTTTTGACACAAAATTTTCTCATAAAATAACCCCAAGAGCAAGTTTCATAATCAGAATGTATCATAGATAAGCATATCACTAGGCTAAATGTTTCAAATGAACTGACTAGTGACTAGTCATTCAGTCCAACCATTAATTTGATTCACTTTTAACTCAACTGAATATTATCTGCTGAGCTAAGTGACAAAGTAGATCAGTTGTTTTTCCTTACATAAGCCAGCCATTCTTTTATTTAATGTTCCATGAAAAACACAAACTATTCTTATGGCTTGAAATCTTACAGACAGGTTTTGCTCTTATATAACAAAGAAACAATCATGGTTATGAAAAGGACATAGAGGGTGAAAGGTGGTACATTCAATAGACTCAAAGAGAGAAAAAAATCATATGTACCAAAAATTGTACCAGAAAGTAATATAAGAAGGTTTATAAAAACAAAAATAACACAGGAAAAAAAAAGTGATAGAAATTTTTTAAACAGGAGAGAAAAATCAAGCAAAGGGGAAACTAATGGTAAAATGACCAAAATAAGTCTAATATACAAAATGCCATTAATTGGAATTCACTTCCTAAGGATGACCTATTAATTTGCTTTAAGCTTTCTTATGGTTAAATTTCTCAACTGAAAATTCAAAGTACTTAAAATAAAATGAGAGCAACAGCTTAGGGAAACGTACAATAATCCTAACACTGAGAACAGAAAGCAATTTTGCCCAACTTTAAGTAACAGGTACCATTCTAACAGTGGCAGACTTTCATGGGAATTTCAAAATTCAGTAATTTCTCACCACCTCCATTACCAGTACCCCATTCTAAGCTACCGTTATCTCTTCCCTGGAAGATCGGAAGAACCTCATAATTGGTCTCCCTGCTGCTTGCTTCCCTTGCTCCCCAATTCAATATATTCTCCATGCAACAGCCAGTGGTCTTGTTAACGCATAGGTCAGATCATGTCTCTCTTTCCCAAAGCACCGCAGTACCACCCTTTTCACTCAGAGTAAATGTCCGAGTCCCGAACAGAACTACAAGGTCCTGGATCTCACTGACTTCATCAATCACTACTCTCCTCTTTGCTCAAGTCACCTTCTCTGAGGAGCCTTCCCTGACCAACCTACTAAAATTTCAACACCTTCCCCACCCCAATATGTCATATCTGCTGTTCTGCTTAATTTTTTCTCCTTATTACTTAACTATTGGCCCATTAAAAGGGAATTAATTAGAGGAAATCCTATCTAATAAAGAGAAAATATGCTAATTGACCCTCACGCCATCACAAAGATGGCAGCACCCACAGCCAATAAGGAGGGAATATGCTAATTGACTGCCACACCCTCAAAGATGGCAGCACCCACAGCCACAAGATGGCGGCTCCCAGTCCCCTCAGCCCCACCGGGGCAGCAGGTGCATGGCAAGGCCGAGCCCACCCCCAGATGGGCCTGGCCACTCTGTGCACCTGCCTCCGGAGTCCCTCGGTCACCTCAGCCCCCCGGCTGCCCAGGGCCGACCTGAGGCTCAGGTAACCAGGGCCGGCCGAAGCTTGCTTTGCCGGCAGTGGCAGCAGCAGAGGTGTGATGGGGGCATCGCCTTCCCCTGATCGCCAGGTCATCTCCTGCCCCTGAGGGCTCCCAGACTGTGAGAGGAAGCAGGCCGAGCTGAGGGATCCCCCTTCCAGTGCATGAATTTTCATGCACCAGGCCTCTAGTATTTGAATATTGCTATTTGCCCTTTCTCTATAATATAGAAGTGTCAGAGATGAAAGAAATTAGTAAAATGTATATGAAAATCTCCCACCTGTCTGAGTCTGGGGCGCACCGCGGGACCCAGAGTCAAGTCCCCACCCACCCATGTGTGCCTTGAAATCACGCGAGACCCAGACCCGGCCGGGCCCACCCGCGTCAAGCCACGCAGGGCGGGGGGTGCAGCTGTAGGTCCCCCGTCAAGCCCCACTCGGGCGGGGGGCATGGCCTCAGGTCAACTGGCCCTGGCACAAGGGCATGAGGGCACTAGGGCATGATGACCATTTGCATATTAGCTCTTTATTATATAGGATAGTAATGTGAATATGATTTTTCTTGTTTATTGTCTAACCCTCTCCAATAGGATGTAAACTCCACCAGACCAACTGATTTTTCTTTTACTATTTCCTTTCATCATTATATCCTTCATACATAGAAGCTGACTCTATAGCAAGTGCTCAATATATTTTAACTGAATGAATGAGTGAATTAGTGAATGGCAAGATGTAACTCTTCCCAGAATTATTCTCCAAAGTAAGCTGGTGGCACCACACCAGCTGCAGCTCTTTCCATTGTTTCTTGATAGTGGAAATCTCAACTTCTGACCTGATGTTCTGGCATCCAGAGAGCAAGGTCACCATTGGATTCATAGGTGTTTCCTCTTGCTCCAAAGAAAGTTGCTGTACACATCATCACCTTAGAAATACCATAGAGGTGCCTGCCCAGAGCAGGAGGAGTGAATCCTGAGCCCCAGCCCAGTCCTCAGCTGGCCCAAGTAAGCCCTGACATATAGTTCTTCATGATATTTTCTTATAATCCTTTGTATTTCTGTGGTATCAGTTATTCTCCTTCTTTTCTGATTTTATTTGAGTTATTTCCTTTTTTCCCCCTTGAGTATGGTTAAACGTTGTCAATCTTGTTTATCTTTTAAAGAACTCATTCTTTGTTTTGCTAATCTTTTGTACTTTTTTTAGTCTCTGTGTAATTTATTTCTGCTCTAATCTTTATTATTTCCTCCTATTACTTTAGGTTTTGTTTGTTGTTCTTTTTCTAGTTCCATTTAGGTGTAAGGTTAGATTGTTTATTTCAGATTTTCCTTGTTTCTTCAGGTAGGTCTACATTGCTATGAATTTCCCTCAGAGGACTGCTTTTGCTGTGTCCTATAGATTTGGGATTGTTGTGTGTTCATTTCCATTTTTCTCAAGATAACTTTTGATTTCTTCCTTGATTTCATTGTGGACCCATTTATTGTTTAGTAATGTTATTCAGCCCCCATGTGTTTGTGTTTTTTCAGCTTTGTTTTCTTGTGATAGATTTATAGTTTTATACCATTGTCATCAAGGAAGATACTTGATATGATTTAATCTTATTGAATGTATTAAGACTTGATTTTTGTTCTAACATGTGGTTTATCCTAGAGAATGTTCCATGTACACTTGAAAATAATGTATATTCTACTGCTTTGGGGTACAATGCTCTGAAGATAGCAATTAAATTCATCTGGTCTCGTGTATCATTTGAGGCAACTGTTTCCTTATTGATTTTTTTTTTGTCTTAAAGATCTAGACATTGATGAAAATGGTGTGTTAAAATCCCCTACTAAAACTGTATTATTGTCAATCTCCACCTTTATGTTCTCCAAGATTTGCTTTATATATCTAGGTGCTCCTATGTTGGGTGCATATAGTTTACAAGGGTTATATCCTCTTATTGGATTGATCCCTTTTGCATTATGTAATGTCCTTTGTCTCCTGATATAGCTTTTATTTTGAAGTCTATTTTGCCTGATATAAGTATTGCTACCCCAGCTTTTTATTCATTCCCTTTTGTATAAAATATATTTGTCCATCCTGGCTGGCATGGCTCAGTGGTTGAGCATTGACCTATGAACCAGGAAGTCACAGTTCAATTCCCAGTCAGAGCACATGACCAAGTTGAGGGCTTGATCCCCAGTGTGAGGCATGCAGGAGGAAGTTGATCAATGGTTCTCTCTCATCATTGATGTTTCTATCTCTCTCTCCCTTCCTCTCTGAAATCAATAAAAATATATTTTTAAAAATATATATATTCATCTATCCCTTTACTTTAAATCTGTGTATATCTTTCATTCTGAGCTGGGTCTCTTGTAGACAGCATATATATGGGTCATGTTTTCTTATCTATTCAGCTACCCATTCTTTTCACTGGAACACTTAATCTGTTTACATTTAAAGTAAATATTAATAGGTACTAATTTATTACCATTGTATTCTTTATATCTATGTTCTATTTTTTTTTCTTTTCTTATTCTTGAAGAAGACCCATTAACATTTCTTGTACTACTGGTTTGGTGGTAACAAACTTCAATAGCTTTTTCTTATCTGGAAAGCTCTTTATTTTGCCTTCAATTTTAAATA